AAACATTACCATTATTCCATCATTATATTTTAAGAGTTAAGTTCAATCATATATCATTAAGAAATTCAAATTGCAAAATTAAACTACCATAGTCAATAAAAGTACCCTACCTCCTGCGAGTTGGAGCTGGCTGGCGAATACGGCACACTGTAATCAAGGTTACTGTTAGGGTATAACTTGTCTAAACTATATTGACTTTTATATCCGTTCACGCTTGTAACCCCCAGGGGTAAAGAACGTGATGTCTGCAGTCTCAGAGAAGGTATCACAAACCACGTAATTGTCCGCAACATTGTGATGTTCGTTTTCAGACATGTGTGAACTCCCTAGAAATATTGAAAACGGCAAGCGCATTTCAATTACGAATTATGTTGAATGTCAAAGACAAACATTTATCCATGAAATTGTTATTGTCAAATTAAGACAATGACTATTTAACATATTTATGTTGCATGATATTAACGCTAACGCTTACATTTTGACGAAACACTTATCATTTCTCTAGACAGATAGAGAGTCACTTTAGACATGTAATGGTCATGCGCGTTGACCTTTAGCTCAACGTTGCTAATTCGCCATGTTGTTTTTCCGTCTCGTAGCGTTGGTTAATTTGCACGTTTTGTAATACAAAACGTGGCGAATTTAGTGTACATAGGAAAACAGAACTGGATTGAAACCCATCAATTTGTTAAAAAGGACAAGAATTTTCGATCTGTGATTTTACCTACTCGAAGGGAAACGTAGTATTGGAATTGTATGAAGTACATGCCATCGCAAGCAAGGTAGCGTGGCCGAGTGGTCTAAGGCGCTGGTTTAAGGCACCAGTCATTTCGATGGCGTGGGTTCGAATCCCACCGCTGCCACTAATTTTATTCTCTAATTTTTCATAGACTTTTTACGTCTGCACAGTCGACCACGTTTTTATTTTTTCAACTGTCGTTTCGTGACTTTTTCATTGGTGCGACCCGTTTCAGTGTGATTGCAAATCCAATATGGCGGAGGAAGCAGGCGATGATACTGATGATCCAGTGGTTGAAGAGGTACGAGTTTGTATAAACAACTATATACATCATGTCTGTTTTGCAAAATAATACTTTAATCATATGACTGACCAGAAATGGATTTATTTCGTTCTTTAGTCTACTGATCTCATTTTAGGTTCTCAGCCCACGGATGATATAGTTTTAAATGAGGGGTGTGCCATGTCATTTATGGGGTGGGCTGGCTTGACAGATTTTAAATCAACTTTAAAAGGAATTCTTAAAGTTTGATTGGAACAGGAAGTTGATAAAGGATTTGTGTTGGGGAAAGTGGGTTAGTAATATTTATTTATTTATTAACACACAACATCCCCCGGAGCGGATGAAAAGGGTTACAAATCAGATATTAGTAAAAGAAAAATAACCACATAAAGAGTAAGGGAACAAAAAGGCATAAAAAAAAAAAAAAAAAAAAAAAAAAAAAAAAAAAAAAAGATAATAAGTTGAATACAAGGAATGTATTACTGGCTTAGTTTATGTAGGTGCTGCTGTCTTGTATTAAAACAGTTTTTTAAATATTGCGCTAAAGGAATAGACATTTTCTCGTCACTTAGTAATGATATGAATTTATTTTCATTACTAAATTTGTCAAAATTTGGTATACGTTTATTAGCTACAATGTAAAGTTAGTATGGGGGTGAGGGTAGAACAGAGGTGTTATAATCAGATAAAGATTGTCTGTTTTTATTTGTGATTTTGTGATGTTTAGGGAATCATGATGTAACTCCATCTTTATTCATACTAGTACGTTGTACTTACGAAAAAATAAAATGATATTAAGAAAAAAAAAGTTGGGGGGGGGGGGGTCACCAGTGGATAGTGGCCATTTTGACAGTATTATATTACTTTTACCATAGTATCCTATGGCAGAGATAATATGCCATATCTTAAATTGTAGTCTAGTGACATCTGCTGAAAAAATTGTGAATAATGGGGTAATCTGGGTTTTAAAAAGTAACAAAAAATGCAATTTGTCTTTAACATTGTGCTCTAAGGAATTAAAATATTAGGACACATTTCTCAAAATACATCACTGTAACACACAAAATAATGCTATTTTATGGTGCCATGGGCCAATAGCTCCATGATTTTACATAATAAACCAATGAACATCGTCATGTGATTTATGACCATTTTTTTCAAAAATTATGAGTAAGCTTCTACCTTTAACATCAAAAACATTAAAATATTATATTTGATTCCCATATGTGAAGCGAGTACAGTGCAAGATTGTTTTTGTTGCTATAATTGTTATCACGTTTGTACTATTCAGTGATATGTGTTACACAAACGTAGTGAATAACAACATAACAGACATTTTACTTAATTCATATATTTGCTTAATTACATATTAACTGAGATCTGATTTCTGTTTTTTCAGATTGATGTGTATCTGTCTAAAAGTCTGGCAGAAAATTTATATCTTCTACAGGTAAGCATTATTTATTGTGAATGACAAGTTTCAATTTTTCTGGCTGATAAGTTACTGGGCATTTGTTCGTGTTGATAGAAAGGAATTTGGTATGTGTGAACCAATCATTGGAATTCACCTAAATTTAGATAGATGCTATAGACACAGTATGGTCCAAGCATAACTTGAAACATTTAGTTACAAGACCTTTTGATAAGTCACTGTTTTTGTTTGGATCCAGACACCCGTGACTTAACAGTACAGTACAAAATTAAAGCTGTGGTAATAAAATTTATGCATAAAACTTTATATTGGGAATGACCTTTGATATACAGAGAAACTCGCTGATATTCTAGTTGCGATCCTGAAACTTTAAGCTATCATTGTAAGGGTGGGTGTAAACTGTAAGTCATTCATTCATGTATCATTCAACTTCATAAAAGACAATCATTCCAAATAGTATATTCTGTATATATTACCGGCAGTGTTGAATGTATTGTAATATTGACAAGAATGTGGTGGTAGTGTAACATGAATTCAATGAGCCTGCTTCACATCATATTGTGAATTTTCACATTTTGTTTTCACGTTCTCAGTATCCTGTGAGACCCGCTAGCATGCCATATGATGAGTTTTCCGTCACCAATGCAAGGATTAAACCAAAACAACAACAGGTTTGTAAACATTTCGAACTTCTATTATATACTGAAGTCGTCACTTTTCACCAAAATTTATAAACTCAAAAAAATAATTTTAAATAAAACTTAAGAATATCAATATTTTTATGGAAGAGCACTGACATCATTGTTTAATTTTCTTTTCAGATTGAATTAGAATTTTCTTTGGACACAAATAGTCCTAATTATTCGAAAAGTAAAGGCGAACAAATTGTGCTAAATGTGGACGGAATGAATAAATCTACTGGCTCAACATTTACTGGGTGAGTTTTCCCAAAAAATCTGAAATCGTAGTGTCGACCTAATCAACGTTGATGTTCTGGATCTTTGATAAGACAACCAAAACTTCACCGTTCAGAGTCAAACTATCAGTAACATAATATTGGAAACACAAGGCATGTATTTATTGAAGTTTATACAAGTACATTCTGTTATGATATAAAGTAGAGCAGCGAGTTTATTTGTGTGCGTATGAGTTGTGAAATTAATCATGTGTGTTGCCCATTTACAAGTACATATGAGTAGCAAATGTGAGCTGCATTTTCAAACAATGAATCAACTGCATGTACATCCTAAAAGTAGTAAATGTGTCATAGTTTTCTAAATATGGGACATACCAAGTCTGGGTTAACAATCAAGGTTTTAATTGCGGGTCATAAGTTGGTAGAAGTCAGCAGGCAAGGTTAGAAAGTTTGTGAAATTTGTATTTCAATGAGAACTGGTCTCCATAATAATCTCTTTTAACACTCCTTTGTACAGTGTGAGTCACCCATGAATGTATTGAAGTTCTGCTATGTGCTTGGTCAGGTGATAACCAGAACTGACACAAGAAGTTGAAAGTATGTTTTGAAAGCAGTTAGTTTATATACGGGTTTGAAATAAATGACAAGTGCATTTAACATGTAATTGATTTCAGTGATGTAATGAACAAACAAATATTAACATCCAGCAACACAGCGCCCTCTGTGTCCAGGTATGCTGCCGGTCTGTTGAAAGATGGTGAGTAGATAGGCTAATGATTGGTGCGTTTAAAATCTTGAGACTTGCTTGGATCAAGGAGTATGGGATACATTTCTTTTTTACCAACTGACTATATGCAAGTCCACTCAGTTTGAAACCCAGGTTTTCCTCTCAAATCTTTCAATTGTGTCTTAGGATTTCAAATGGTTCACTAATCACTGCTTGCCTTGGTTCTCTACAAAAAAGTATCTTTTCCAAAATACTTTGACTTTAATGTCAATCATTTTATATTTGTGATACCTGACTTAACTGTAGCATTTTTGAACATTTATAGTGTTAACAGAGTTAATACGAGTATGCACAGACAAATAAGGGCATGCACAGACAAATAAGGGCATGCACAGACAAATAAGGGCATGCACAGACAAATAAGGGCATGCACAGACAAATAAGTGCATGCACAAACAAACAAGGGCATGCACAGACAAACAAGGGCATGCACAGACAAACAAGAGCATGCACAGACAAACAAGGGCATGCACAGACAAACAGGGGCATGCACAGACAAACAAGTGCATGCACAGACAAACAAGTG